TTCAGCTAGCAGGACTGGCCTAGGGGAAATTTTTAGCCGGGTTTTAAAATAATTTTAAATTAAATATAGGCCAAGCATTAATATTTTCTTTTAATTATGTTTTTAACTATAGTATTTGATATTTTGTATGTGTTTTATCAGCCTGTTAGCCGCCCTGAGTCCGCAAGGAGAAGGGCGGGATATAAATACAATAAACTAACTAACTAAACTAACTAACTTTTTAACTTTTTCCCAATCTTTTAGTATATTTTTATGAGCAACATTTATCAGTCACTTTATTATACTTATTGCTAAATATAGCAATGATTATAAAAAGCTATATACAGCATTTTAATGAGTACTTATTCTAAAATACTATGAATATCAAATGAATATGGAGATAATTGATGATAAGGAACCCTATGTTTAGAATTTCAGTTTTTTTGATGCATGCTAGCACTGTATAGACTCTCTAGACCTTAAAAGATCAAATGGTGCAGGAAATGGCTTTTCTTGTGATTCTCTATGGAAGTGAGTTAGGCTTTCAAGAAGGACACTGATGCTTTTGAAATATTACTGTTGCAGAAGATTCCTGAGAATAGCATGAATAGCTAAGAAAATGTACAAATGGATTACAGAACAAATCAATCCACAGTTCTCACTTGTACAAATGACCTAGCTCAAATTATCATATACTGAACAATTTGTGAAGACTTAGCTCTCAAGAAGTTTGTAATAGTGAGAAGGGTAGAAGGAGGAAGAAAATGTCCAACAACAAGGTGGTTGGACTCAGTTATAGCACCAAAGGGTGCATCTGAAGTCGGGGACAGATCATCCTGGAGAAAAACTATCTATATGATCACTAAGAGCTGAAAACAACTGGATGGCATATAATCATAGGCACGATCAAAATGAACAGAAGGCTTTGTTTATGGTTCTAGAATACATGTTCTGCAGTTAAATATAAATACAGTATCTTTATATATTATTCTAAATATATATTGCATTTTTTCATTGCTACATTGCTAATCCTCAGAAAAAAACTTACTCAATTGCTATTTCAAAATTAGTTTCATTAATATGGAAGCAAGACTGAACTAAATTTTTTCAAAAGATTATTTTCAGGCTAAAATAATGTACAATTCTACATGTTTTCTAC